TCAGCCCTTGTATATGTGTGTGTGTAATCCTCCAACACAATTCTCCAACAGCTCACTATCTCTCCCTTGCCGGCCAATCTTTTCTTCCATTCTTTCCTCCTCCACTTTTCTGTCTGCCGTATGAATCTCTCAATTCTTTCCACAAGCAACCGCTTATCTCCCCTTTTTTTCCTCCCCCCTGGTGCCGTCCACTGTGTATATATATATGTTATATAATATACTCAGCAATAGTAGCCGCCATTCTCTCCAATTCTACTGTAATTCGGTGATCCCCCTCGGCAATGTAATTAGGTAATGTATTATCCCAATTCAAAGTCCACATGTGAGGCCCATGAATCATTTATTTCTCCCAGTCATTCAAGCTTTATAATTAATGCAATTTAGTCCTTCAATTTCTCTAGTGTAAACTTGTATCTCCAAAATTGTCGATTTTATTCAATTTCATCATTCTTTTATTTTCAATTGCTTCAAACGAGTCCACAACTACAAAACAAAAGAAAATTGACCTAAGTTAAATATAAATTAACAATTTGACGACGTAAAATCCTAGTAATATGACTCTAAATAAGCGCACAAAATACACTTATCAAACACCTCCAAACTTGAGTTGTTGTTTGTCCTCAAACAAAATCAAAATTTAACACACTCAAACATGTAATGTCAATTACCTAATTAATGACCAGTCAATCGAACAATGCAAAATGATTTAGTTAGCTATCCTGGCTTTTTATCTCAGAATTGAAATCATAATATCAAATCTACGCATAGTTTCAAAATCACAATACATAAACTAAAATCTACTTTTCCCATGAAAAATCGATGTGTGTGTGTGTGAAGAATTAAGTATAACATTACGAATTCATAAGTCGTTTCAATTCCCAACCCTCAGTGATGTGAGCACAGGGGGGCAGAAATTTCCAACAATTCCATGTGTGCTGAGCAACGTTCGGTGGTTAATTCGGGGCTTCGAAGAGATGATAAAAGCTATACATTTACATGTTCGAGCAAAGGAGTCCATAATATCGAAGTTAACATGCCAAGGAACAAGTTTGGTGAAAGGGGCAAGGTCGGAAATCTATTGGATCAACACGAAAGTTATTCACTAGTTTTCAGTCTCATATTGAGACCTGTTTTTGTCATGGTAAAAGGTCGAATTGGAGGTTCATGTCTGAATCAAA